AAATCCCAAAAAAGAAGACGGTAGTCCATTCCGTCCGGAAACGAACAACTCTCGTAGAGAGCGAGATGAAAAAGACAGATAGGGCATACTCACAAGCGAGATGAAAAAAACAGTTAGGGCATACTCACACTAGGACTTCTTTTACTAACGTATGGTGGACGTGATTGCGGACAAATTCATCCACTTGCGAACCTATGGTGGACGTGATTGCGGACAAATTCATCCACTGGCGGCCGTAAATTTCGTCAGAGATTTAGGAAAGTGTTGATGTGAGGATGACTGTAGTATGGAGTACTATGGACTTGGAAAAATCTATATTGAGTATGTGCTCCCACTAGGACATGTCGGGATGTATCTGACTGCTATTACGGCCCGAGGTGGGTGTATCTGATCGCACTCACGTCCAGAGCGGAGTGGAGTAAAGTCATAGTGGGAGTATGCTTTGAGACTGTTGAAATAGTATCCATAAATTCCATAATAGCAAAAATGTTCCCCTTTACTTTCTCGAGCATTTGTCTAAGGTCGTGTAGTATCTGTTCTGGTCAGTTTAATAATACTTACTTCCCTTCCCACCCCCCGCAGACAGCAAACATGTCATCCCTATTGCGTCAGACTCTGTATTGTTGCATTAGGTTCGCATAGTACCCGTATTAGTGCAAACTCAGTCTCACACTAGAACATTATCGGCTTACCTCTGGACGTGATTGCGGCTCGATACATCCAGGGCGTGCAGTGATTGTAGTCGGATATATCCAACGAAGTTCTAGTGTGAGAACACTGTTAAATGGCACTGCCAGCGAAGTTCTAGTGTGAGAACACTGTTAAATGGCACTTAAAATAATAGTTTGCTGGAACTGGAAGTATGTGACAGCAATTACGGCACGTCATGCATGTATCCGACTGAAATCACGTCCAGAAGTCATTTCTGTCGACAAGGTCCAGGTTTTTAACTATGCCGTCATTTTGTAAACATATCGTAATATTCTGGTGGTTTGCTTTATAGGGGGCCATCAGTGTTCTTTGATTGTATGGTCGTTTTTTTTTTTGTTTTTTTTTTTTTTGGTAAATGAATGGTGTCTTCTCTTCCGTACCCTCGCAGCGAGAACGGTAGCCCTTTCCATGTGGGAACATACCGACCCTTGTTTTTTTGTTTTCTAATGATTTTTTCACTGTTTTGAAAAAGTACACGTGGGAGCATACCGACCCTCGGATTATTTTTATTTTTTTTAATTCAATACATGAAGCTGATCACAACAGACACTACACTTGATCGGGGATTGACTCCGTCGAGGACAAAGTTTTGAGGGCGTACTCACTCACATTCGGACACCTGACCTCAATTACAGCCAGATTTGGATGTATCGGACTGCAATTACGGTCTGAGTTCAGTCGAGAGTATGCGCTGATTCAAGCCTCGAGTCCACCAACGATGGTCCCGGCTTAAGGGATGGCACGCCGACGGCACGCTCAGATTACGGGCTTCATTATCGCTGTATGTAGACCTGAAGGTGCACCAAATACATCTTGAATGACCGTGCGTTATATTCCGTATATATTTCTTGCCAAATTCTTGGACTCGAATACCCGAGTCAGACGAGTCTGATGATACGGAATATTACTAGGCACCGACAACATATATCAGTAATATTAGATACTATATAGTATTTTTCAATTACATAATTTATATTTGATAAGTGCCTACTATGTATAATATTATGAAATTAATATAAATGTTATTCTCTGATATGCCTAACGATTCCTTTTTTTTTTTGGGTACATTTTTTGGAAAAATACAGATCAATTGGCGCTCAAGGCAGGTGCTGGCGAGCTTATCGAGCGGCTTCTGACTGATGGCCGAAAATTTGGTATCGTGACGAGATCTACGGTTGCCGAGATGGACATCGCTCGCTCTCGCCTGCCCATTTTAAACATGATTCCAGCACAAAGATGGTAAGTTAGACCATCGTTCTTCGAAAAAACAGCAAAGAAACAAAGGAGAGAGAGAGAGAGAGAGAGATTCTGTTTTCAAAACGATAGGAACGGAGCCATGGTGAGTTAGGTCATCGTTCCCTAAGGAAATGAAAAACCGTTCGGCTGGCGATCGGGAGATGGCCCCCTGAGGAGAGTGCTAGAGGCCAGCTGGTGAAAACGTGCATCGGGGAAATTCAATGTGTGCGTTTATTCTGAGTCTGTAGTTGGACACGAGTATTGCCAATGATACATCGATAGATCCAACGAGTTCCTGTCCATAAGGACCTGTTGGCTGTTGGCCATTGCACATAGAGGAATAAGTTGAAAAGCGCACAATTAGTTGGAAAGCGATTTGCGTGAGGTGGGTGTTTGTTCTGGCGCACGCGGTGTGGGGATAGTGCAGACAGCACTGCCAGGAGGAAATTTAGGAAATGTTCTTTTTTTAAGTAGTTTGCCAATTTGCAGCAGGTTGGTTCCATTGCCAGTGCAGGAAAAGGAAAAAGGTAGGGTGTGTGATCATCCCAGCCGTTGATTACCGGCTGATCATCAGAGCCGTTGATTACCAGCCACGACCAGCCGTTGATTACTGGTTTATCATCTTAGCCGTTGGTTCCATTGCCAGTGCAGGAAAAGGAAAAGGGTAGGGTGTGTGGTCATCCCAGCCGTTGATTTCCGGCTGATCATCAGAGCCGTTGATTACCAGTCACGACCAGCCGTTGATTACTGGCTTATATCATCTTAGCCGTTGGTTACTGGCTGATCATCCCAGCCCGTTGATCACCGGCTGATCATCCTTCTATTACGGGCGCAGCGCCGTCGCTGATCGCAAGGGTTGATGATATATAGCTGGTGCTCGCAGCGTTCAAGGTGTGTTCCCCGCCGTTGATGAGAGGTTGATCAGGTGCGTGATCATCCAGCATGCCGTCGTCACCAAGATGTTGATCCGTGGCTGATTAGTGGTTGATTAGAGGTCGACTAGTGGTTGATTAGTGGTTGATTAGTGGTTGATTAGTGCTGTCTAATCAGCATTAGCTGGGGGGGCGCTGACCTGATTCCAGCCATTGATTACTGGTTTATCTCGGGACGGTCGCAGTTGATTTGGTGTTCACTGGTTGCTGATCAGTGATCAAGCACTTTGATGATGACTAGTCTGTTTCTGGTGCTCGCCGTTGCCTTCACGGTGTGATCACACACGCTGATTTGATTAATGGTGGTCGATCTGGTGCTTGGCGATTGGATGTTGACTGAGGGTGGTTGCTGATGATGGGGGCCATGATGACCTGCAGTGTATCGTGGGAATTGCAAACAGCCAGGATGGTTTAAGGTGTAGTGACGAAGTAGATACAAAATTGCGTTGCGTGGAGAATTAACAAAATTTATAGGTCCTACCCCTTGCCTACGGAATACTCCCACCTCCAATGAGGGCAAAAAGTGTGCGAGGCCCTGAAATGAACTTTGAAAAGTTTAACCCATTTTTGCATTTTTGCCTTTTTTGTTCTTTTTTTTTTAATTCTTTAAAACCAACCAATTCATTTACCTGTTGAATCTGGACAGGACGGCCTTTCAGGCCTTTTTTTTATTGTTATTATTGTAGTATTACGGGGAACCCAACCCGTAGCAGCCACATCCGTGCTCAAGCCTCCAACACGAGCGTACATGCGGGAGCTGCACCCACCAGCTGGCAGCAGCAGGTGCGATACCCCTGCTACAGCAGGTGAGAGATACCGGCCATGGGGGGGTCAGCCGGTAGCATTAGGACCTACAGTAGCCTCTTCGATGGGCCAGTCACTGTGCCTCCCCTCAGGTGGTGGTCCCCCCCCCCTATGAGCATTTGCACTGTTGGCAGTCCAGGCGTTACTGGCGCGGCTGGGGTGAAACGGTGAAAGTTCGTTGTAGGGCCTCCCACACTTTGCATTTGTTTCGTGGGGATTATTGTGAACAATGATTTTTCCCCTTCCTAGTTTTTTTTTTTTTTTTTTTTTTTCCAATTTTAATGTTAATCTCGAGTGGTGATTGATCTTGCAAGTTTTCGGTTACCTGTTCTAGACCCCTGTGAGGAGGGGAAAAAAAAAAGAAGGAAAGATCTGTGGCCCGGTGGTGGGGTGTTTGCTTCTTCGAAGTTCTGTTAACGATGATGGACTATAACACTGGTTTTTAAACCCTCGTGTATCGTACTGCTGCCCTCCTGCAAGCAGTTTGCAATAGGCACGGGGTGTTTTTTTTTTTTTTTTTTTCAAGGGCAACGGCCTTGAGATGTCATCATAATGCTGACCGCCCCCAGGCAATTCAGAAATAGTTGGTTTTACAAGTTTACTCGTCAAGTTCCATCATCTGGATTCGAACACGGGTCTGTATTTTCAACAGTTCATGGGTGTACCACTGTACCCACTGAGCTTAGGCTCTTGGGTCAAAAGTACTATTCAGTATTTACATCTGGCCGGATGATGTAAACTTATCACAGGTTTTTGCACCCTTGTGCATGATACTGCTGCCCTCCTGCACGAGGGTGTAAAAACCTGTGGACAAACAAAAGTACTATTTACATCTGGCCAGATGGAAAGTTCCCGTCGTCTGCCTGCCCTCCTGCAAGCACCACACAGTGGCACACACTCTCATGTGGTGGCCATCAAGGCTCCACATGTGTATCGTGTTTTCACTCGGGAGGATGTTGAAAAACATGATCATGCCCAAAAATTCAAATGATTAAAAAGAAGAAAATAAATGAATCTGAGCATTTGTGAACAGAAATGAGTCGGAGCAGATGGATGTTTGCCACCTATGAGGAAGGCAGACAAAAATAAGAGTGGGGGAAAAAAAATGTAAACGGAGCTTTTGAAGTGAAGTGAAAAGCACGAGTAAGCCACCGAGGACACACTCATTACGAGTGTAAGTCACAGAGGAATAACTCGTTAGCAACCATAGGCACAGTTTGCACCAGCGGCAGATTATGTGAGAATTTGAGAAACATTCTCAAAAATAGTAGCAGACCTTCTCACATTCTCAAAAATAGTAGCAGACCTCTGAAAGATACATCGGGAACACCGACATCGGAAGCTTTTTTTTTTTTTTTTTTTTTTTTTTTGTTTGTTTGTTAACAGTAGCAGTTTTTTTTAGGCTGCCAGAGTGGCCCGGGGTCACTTGCCCGGCCGGGCCAAAAACATTTGTATATATATTAAATTGTATTTTTTATTTTGAATTTGGTGAAGAATTTCGATGTGACCCTGAGGCAAACGTCATTCAGTTTATTTTTCTGCATAGCATAGTTTGTTTTGTGGATTTTTTGGATTTTTTTTTTTTTTTTTTTTTTGGCTGGGTCCTTTGCTGGTCTTTGCGCGGGCTGGCCGCCCGGGACCCGGGCGGCCCGGCTGGTAGCCTAGATTTTTTTGCTTTTCTTTTTTCTTTCCCCCCCCCCCAAGAATCACTGCTCCAATCTATTTGTGGGGAGCTGCAACGGTTGGGAAACGGGCCCAACGTCCCAAGAGAATGATGTTTGAGGCCGGGGGACTCAGTCAACGAAGAAGGATCCCGGGAGCACTGTCTGGCTTCTCTTGGAAATAACAAGGGATAGGCACAGAGATGGGGCTAGAGGAGGAGGTTTAAAGTTGAAGAATTGGAACGAAGGATGGGACAGGGAAAATGGAGGTGGGGTACGCCCGGTACGGACATCCCGAGTTCACAGACCCTCTCAGCCTGTGGCTGTCAGGAAGACACGTGCTCTGCGAGGGCTGGGGTAAGGGCAGTCCCACGGAAAGTCTGAGTATACTATTTTGTTATTCGGGAGGAGGTATGCCCTCTTGTAAAAAAAAAAAAAAAAAAAAAAGGGAGTCCGGTAGAGTCGGATAGCCCACTTCTTCTGAAAGGAGAGCTTTGCACTTGCGACTTGCGAAGTCTGTAGACTTATTCTTGATCTCAACCGATGAGGCCATGATATCCAATCTCATTGCATGCCTAAATTTGGAAAGGAGGGCAGGGTTAGGAGGCTAAGAATCTAAAAACCTCCTGCCTAAATTTTAAGCTTTTAGGTGTACCATCATAGTACGTAAAATAAATATTTCTGTTTATTAAATTTTATTTATACAGGGCAGGGATAGGAGGCTAAGAATCTAAAAACCTCCTGCTTAAATTTTTAGCCTTTAGGTATACCGTCATAGTACATAAAATAAATATTTCTGTTTATTAAAATTTATTTATACATCACATAGTAAATTTCATTTTGTGCATTGTTTCATATTTCATACCTTACTTTGTAGAATTGGGGGTATTTTTTAAACTTGCAGGTACACCAGAGAGGACACTGCGCCAGAAGCTGCAAAGCCAAGTCCACAGGGCTATAACACCGCCCTGCAAGACCTGGTATAATTTTTCTCTTCTCTTCATACCCTCTCGTTCCCCCCCAAAGTCCATCCCCTCGCTTTGGCTTTCTTCTCGCACGCCCTCTTTGCTAAGAGAGCCACCAACAACCCCTGGTTGCCCTTCTGTCTGTTGCCACCCTGAGGAATTTCGCCCACTTCGTGTCCGGAGGCATGATGTCAGGCACTGTAGGCCCGAGTTATCCTGAGTATATTGTGTCCCCCTCCYCYCCCCCCCCCCCCCCCCCCCCCCCCCYCCCCCGCCTCTTCATCTGGACCCTTGGACTCTTGGAGAATTCACTGGATGCCATTTAAAGTTATGAAACCCAGTGGCCCCATGTCCAAATATTCTTTACGCAAGACGTGCACGCGCACCCCGTAGTCGAGTTCGCGGAGTGCATAATTTTGTTGAGACAGACATGAGTCACATGACGGTAAGATACCCTTTTGTAGGATGTGAACCCTGTGGCTTGTTTAAATTAGAATTTAGTTACAACTCTCGTTTATAATTTTGCCCTTCAAGCAACAGACTATGAATTTCATCCCTACCCGTTCTGCCTGCCTGTGGTAAAGGAACATGACATTGTGTGTGTGGAGTCTCTCAGCCTCCGGATCTTTGCCATTGGCTCTTTGCAATTTTTCCCTTCATGTCACCCACAACAAATTTCATTCCTATCCTTCATTCGTGTGCTTGAAAGGCCACAATCAAAAATATTGCAAGGAACACGGTGACTGCGATGTGTGGTTAGTGTTATCCATGGGATCTTTCCTGGCGCCCTTTGAATTCACCCTCACATTGTTTCCCTGCATAATTCTTTCGCTATTGCAATACGACCATCACTCTAATACTCTATTTTTTCGTGCATCGGAATATGGCTATGATCGCTCTTTTGTTCGTGAATCGGGAATATGCACATCACTCTTCTTTTCTTGATGAAATCCTAACGTTCTTTGGGAGTCGGAATATTCCCATCACTGTAGCAGTTTCGTTGTGCAGAAATTGTTAATCTCTCTCTTTAGACTCTTTTCTGTATTGATAAGTGGGTTCGTTCCTCAACCTTGCGGTCTCTATATCCATGTGTTGGTTCGTAGTTTTTATTTTATGATTATGAATATTATTATTATTATTATTATTTTTTTTTTATGTGTTGGTTCGTAGTAACTTCGTATGGAATAGTACCCATTGTTTTCTCTGTGTCAAGGTTTTTTTTTTTTTTTTTTTTTTTTAATAGTGTGCCGAGTTCGCCCCTGCCACTGGCCAACCATGCAATGCCATACGAATGTACCATAAAAGAAGAAAAGAAAAAAAATCAGAACAAATAGTGCCATAATGGTGGTGGATTTTCCAACCTGTCCTGCTTGCCTGCCTGTGACCTGTCTGTTTGTCTGTGTCTGTTTATCCCTCTGTTTGTCTGACCATCTGCCCATCTCTCACCTAGACTCACCAGTCCGGTCAGGCTGCTCAGCCGCCCGGCTAGACTTGCATGGCTTAGCTGCTTGGCACACTTGCGTTGGCCCGCTTGTTTCTGTCTAGGTCTGCCAGCCTGTCTGCCTCCGCCTGTGTGCATGGGGTGACAGTGGTCGGTCACCTGTTCGTTTTGTTTTTTGACCTCTGAAACCACTACCGGTATCGTAGTACCTCCGCCAGTGTTGGGAAAAAACCTCCTAAAAAAATGGACGCCGGGCCTGATGACGGCTGCAATTGATAAATCTGATTGGCAGCCCTCGTTTAGTTCCGGCATCCTAAAAGATCGGAGGCCCACCCGAGGCCTGCTATTTTCCCACTCGGCAAAGGTAATAGTGGTTTACAATGCTCCGATCTATTCGTGGGGAGCAACACCTGGCAGTGCCCCTGGAACTGGCGGAAACTGGGCACAACATCCTCTAATACCTCTATCACCATAATATATATATATATATATTTTGGCTGTGACAGACCTTTCTTTGTTTCGTGGATGTTTTGCTGGCTTGTGATGGGGTGTGAACCGACAGTCTGTAGAGTTTTCCATCTGGTGTGGGTGAGTGATAGTCTACTTTGATTTTGGTTAAGGTAGATTATCATTTACAGTGTAATCAGTGAGGGGATTCTGCAGACTGTTGAGGGTTCAGCCTCCTGATGAGTCGGTGAAACTCCGACGAAACAGTTTGTCACAGCCCCTCGTTTGTTGTCCTCTTCTCTCTCTCTGCCTACGGTTTGCCGGGCAGTTCTATTTGTGACGATATTCTCTCTCTCTGCCTACGGTTTACCGGGCATGAAAGATAGCATAATGAACATTTGATGGTACTTGGATGATGCTTTCAACTTCAAGTTGAAGTTGGTTGTCTCTGTGTTTTGGGTGCATTTGCCAAGTTTGGCCTTTCAGACTCCTCAGAGTTCAAACACAAATGTGAATGTATTTTGACACTATTTGTGAACTTTGTGCGCTTTCTAACTTGTCTGGCTGTCTCTCTGTCTGTGCCTGGCCTTTTGCCTGACTGTCCTCTCTTTATATTTGCCGTTGTGTAAACATAGTACACGCCTGGCGATAGGGTTATGGGAATCGAGAACAGTGCACGAGGTCTTGGTGCGATCCTCAACATGAACGTTCCAGCAGACGACAAGGTGGCTACCATCGTGGGCCCTGTTATCTCCGACTCTGCAAACAGACTGCGCAGCACGTACATCAACACTTTCTGGCTGCGCGACATTCCTCGTATTTTCATCGGAGTAACGACTCTTTCTCATGCTGAAGCTCCCGCAGGGGTGTTTAACGTGGCCACTGGTCAGGGTACGCCGGGAGCGGCGGCAGGAATGGACACAGCTTTTTTGGGGGTAGCACCGGAAATGGGAGGAGCTCTGGGTCCAGGTCTCGCGGGAGTACCGCCTGTGGCACCCGGTGGGCCACTTGGAATGCCGTTAGCAGCAGGAGTTGGCGCTGCGTATCCGACTGGATATGCTACGGGTTTTGCAGTCGAGTCGGCAGACGTGGCCTTTGCTACTCCCAATCAGACGTGCACGATGGGCTTCGCGGGGACCGATGGGAGTGTGGATGTCGGAGCAGGACCACCGGTTGGCACCACAGGCACAGGCGCCACGAGCGTCAGCAGTTTCATTGTGCCTGGTGTTGCTCCTGGGACGGTGGATGTCGTTGAAGTTACAACTAGAACCATCCGTGCGGAAGATGTGGGACTCTCTACCGCCGATGTGCCCGTTCTGGGTGCAGGGGCCCAAACCGCCCAACCAGGCGGTGAGGGCGCTGAGGGGGAGATTAAAGGGACGGAAGGGGACGTGGGGGCACTTGGGGCCACAGAAGCGCAACAAGAGGCGAAGTCCGAGGCAGACACAGGTATACATGGCGAGATGGCGTTCGGTGCTCCGCGGGAAATGCAAGGCCAGGAAGGAGCACAAACAGAAGCGAGGGAAAAAGAATACCAGCCTGAGGCTATGGACATCTCAGCGAAACCTGCGGGCGTGGAGGAGCAATGGACCCAGCGAGGCGAAGGTGGTGGTAGAGAGGGTCAGGAGGAAGCAGGGCAGGAACCTGAGCAAAGGGAAGAAGAACGACGCGTCATGCAGGCGAACATATGAGTGTGCAGAACACCGCTGGATGCGAGACTCAGACTCGATTCACTTTGGCAGGTTTCCCTTCAGAGTTGTCAAAGCACTAGCTCATGAGCTGTAGTTCAGGATCTTCAGGCACTGAAGTAGGTCTTCAGACACAGAAATTGATAGTCTAAGAATGTATAGTAACGACCTAGCTTGCCAAATTCGTATGTCACAGTGATGAATGTTGTTTTGGGTGCTATTGGGTGCTATGCGCACGATTATACGCCTCTGTGATATGACACATCTGACAGTGTTGTGAACATTGTCATTCAGTTTGATGTATGGGGATAGTATCATAGTAGTAAGGAACAGGTTTTTTTTTTTTTTTTTTTTTTTTAATAAAGACGGAGCCTGAATTGTACATAAGAGAGCTATAATTCTAGCTGAAGACCGAAGTCCTATAACCTGTATTGTATATGAGGGAGCCACTGTAGTCTGTAGCTTAATACCAATAGGAGGCTATCCCTTCCGAGTCTTCGATATGCATTCACTTCGATAGTGTACCAGGTAAGGGAGGGAGGTTTCAGTGTTTCACCATCATGATGTTGGACATGGAAGAATGAAGCTGCACTGTAGCACGTAAGGGAGGCCCTGGGCCCTGGGGTCGATTGGGAGGAATTTGGGACAACTTGAATTCCCAATTGTGGGACAACAGGAACTCCTGGCTGGGCTGATTCTGGGACAACTTGAATTTCTGCAGTCTTCCTCTCTAGGTACTCAAATATCTAGGGTAGAACCGTAGAGGTAGTTGCTGCAGGATTTTTTTTTGAACTTTTTTTTTTTTAATTTTTTTTTTTCGTGGAGGGAGTTGCTGTAGGATTTTTTTTTTTTTTTTTTTTTTTYTGTTTGTTTTTTGTTTGGGGTTCTGTCAATCTGCTGCCTTTTGCACACGCCGCACAGGGCAGCCCTGTAGCCCTAGCCTCTAGGTCTGTTACCGTCTGTATGTGTGCACATCTCTTCTTGTAGGCTGTAGCTGTGTAGCTGTATTTGACGGGAAACGGTCTTCCGTCTTTGTTGAATACAGTTGTTGTTGACTGTGTACTCGAACTTGATGGTTTGACTTTTAGAGCCCAGTTGTTGACCTGCATGTGTTGACTTCCAGTCTTCCAGGTCTTCTTAAAGTTTGACATTCAATTTGGCAGTTGTATCAATGAGTCAGGCAGGGGTTTTTTTTAGGACCTCTCGATGAACTTCACGTTACGGCAGAGCATTACAATTTACAATGGACGACCGGTCGTGAGTTCGTACTCCGACCCGACAGCTTGAGTGGTTTGACTTTTTGATCCCAGGCAGTGTTGAGCAGCGTTCTGACCTCCAGGTAGTGTTTGACATTCACAGTGGTAAGGGTTTTTAGCCTTTTAGGGCCTTGCTATGAACTGCGGCATTGCAGTTGCTGAGTAGTCATGAGTTCGAACCTTCGGTGTATGTATATATATAGGATCTGTCCAGGGATCCGTCATGGATGAATAGTGGTGACGAGCCGGGGGTTCGAACGTCTGTTATAGTCTTGAAGAGCATCATGGCACTGCGAAGTAATGTCCCATTCTTAGGGTACTGATGAGACTTTTTAGATCATGGATTAGTGCACAAACCGTGACAAACGAGCTAAGCTTTGTCTGTGGTGCAAACCCTGGTTGTGTGCGAATCATGTGGAATGATCAATCCTGTACATATGGCCTACGACTCTTTTGGAAACTGGAGGTGTTCTTACACCACCGGACCGTCACTGGTAACACGAATGGACTATATTTTGTTGAACCTATTTTTTTTTGCTGGTTGAACCTATTTTTTTTCTGGTTTGAACGTATTTGTTTTCTGGTTTTAACGTATTTGTTTTTTGGTACCGAATGGATCTAATTGGATGCATGTACTGCCAGACAGGCTTTCAGAATCCAGATGGAGACTGTCGTCCCAGTATGCACAGAACAGTCGCAAGTTTCGGAAACAGTGGGAAAGGGTACTACCGTACTGGTACTGGTGGTTTAATAATTCTTAGAAGTTAGAAAGCAAGCGTTGTGGTAAGAGTTTCGATCAGATCGATACATGGTTGATGGGTTTCATTTCTATCAGGCTGTCAGGCATCTTACTCTCGAGCTGAGACCGTTTCATCACGATCCCTCGTAAGATTTGTCTCTCTGGGTCAATAGGTGACCTCCTCTGTTTTCTTTTTTGTTTCGTTTTGTTTTTAACAGCCGGTGCTTTGACAAACAACACTGTGAGCGTCTGATGACCTATAAGGTTCTTCAGAACAAAGCCTCTCTCTCTCTCTCTCTCTCTCTCTCTCTCTCTCTCTCTCTCTCTCTCTCCTGACTCTCTCTCTCTCTCTCTCTCTCTCTCTCTCTCTCTCTCTCTCTCTCTCTCTCTCTCTCATGCACACACACACACTGTGACACACATGCGGTATTGGTTATACATGTACGGTAACCTCTGACGGATCTCCCTCTTTCTTGCCAGACGAACTACGAACACAGCAGTCCGAGGAGGAAAATAGACTTCTATTTGAGCCCCCGGCAGAGTGATGTGCTCATAGTTTATCACCACCAGGGCGAGCTGTTGTGGTTCATATCCTGCAGCAGCTGAATGCCCTTGCGTTGGACTGATCCTCACTGTCGTCGTCTGCCCATAGAGAAGGAATACATAATGAGGAAGCCCAAGAAAGATGCTCCATGCCGCTTTGTGATGACCCACCGGAGATTCAACTAGCATGTGGTTCGCATGCCTTGTGCCGTGAGGATTATGAAGGTATAGTCCATGCGAGGTTTTGCTTCCATACGTACGATGACAGTCAGTACTGTACTCGTGTACGGCACCCCGACATATCATGTCCAATTTGTAGACGGGCTGGAACAGCAATGCCTCTATAATTGCGGTCGATGTGCCTCTGTGTTCCTAGCATGTACGAGCCACGTCGCCTGTGACATCTGTCTGTGCCGTGCCATTCGATGCAGCAAAACTGTGAAAATTGGATGCAGTGCTTCCACAGCCCACACCCGAAGCGGTCCTGTCCGGTCTGTAGGGGTGGCCACTCGCCATAGGGTTTTTTTTTGTTTTTTTTTTTTAAGAAGTCTGCTTCAGCGGTTGATATTTAGAAATCTGTGAAACCCGTCATACACTTTCCTGGGTTTCCCCTGCTCTTTGCATGTCATACTCTATACTGCCGTCAACATATTTCTTTCCTTCCTGTTGCCCCTACCTCCCCTGCCCCATACTCCTAGAGAACTACACCTTCTACCCCTTACCCTCCACCCTCCCCTGGACTCCCTTTGTACTACTAACAAATACATATGAATGAGCATCATTAAGAGTATAGACGATATGAAGATCAGAAATGAAATGAATGGAAGTATGAAGATGAAGGACGGAGACAAAGACTGTATAAGTTGAAGATCTGAAGTGAAATGAACAGGGGTATGAACTTATGAAGCTCTGATGAAGAGATGCACAGGATCATACCTTCCCCTGTCCTCTGCGTCCTCCTGTTATAACGTGCAAGTGGGCCGTGAAGGCACATGGGGATGTGGGCAGCTGCCGCTCAACCGCAATCAACGTGGGCAGCCTTGTGCGTAAGAGGCACTGTAAAAGGGGAGCTGCAAGAACAATGAAAGGGATACCCCTGGGTGGAATTGGCCCAATTGTGGCTGTTGTGGGGAAAATATAAAACACAACACACACACTGACACACACACACACACACACACACACACACACACACACACACACACACACAATGACCTCCTGATGAGTCGGTGAAAGTCCGACGAAACAGTCTGGCACAGTTCTGTTTTTGAGTGTATAGCGAATATGACAACACGCACACCCACAGTGATCTACTCTAAGGGCCTCGCTGCACTACTCTTGAAATGCACAAATGACAAAAATCATGTCGCTGTATCTTTCCAGGTTCTGGCGGAAGATTCACTCTCGTTTTGCACCATTCAAGAGCAGTGCAGCGAGGCCCTAAGTTTGTTCGCACCTATGGTGGATGGGGTCGGACCCGGTCGGTGCTTTCTTGCTGGTCCTGTGTCTTAGCCGCTTAGAGAGTCTCAGGTAAAGTTGCTTCTTGTGGATCAAATAAATATATGTACATATGTCTAATATGTGCAAGTGGGCTGCTTCGGCGGCAGACGGGTGTGTGTGCACCCTTTTATGGATGGTTTGTGATGAATCAGATTTGTGGATCGAATGGGAGAGAGAGTTCGGGGTCTTTTGGAACACGCACGCACGCACGCACGCACACACACACACACACAGAGTCTGGTACAGTGGTAACAGTCGTGCTTTTTTTGAGTGTATAGCGAATATGCCAGCACAATGAACACACACACACACAAAAAAAAAAAAAAAAAGCATGGTGTGTGCCCGTCATCCTTTTCCTACTCTTGTCCAAAGTTCTTCCCTGAACTGTATTACATTCACCACTTTCGCCAATAATATTTTCTGATGCCTTCTTATCGGGGGACAGCCATATATTTTTCTGTCACGGACTGCTAGCAGAGCAGACTACTAGCAGACTACTAACAGACTAGTAGCAGTCGACATATCTCTCTCTCTCTCTCTCTCTCTCTCCTTTCATACCTGCATCAACGTGTGATGAAGGAATTTGGTGGTGCCTGCTTGACATGGCATCAACAGATTACTCTTCTGTAGAGAAGAACTTGATGAAGGTGCTCATCGTGGATGTTCAAAGCACTGGTGGGCAGGCTCAATGCTAGAATATGAACATTGTGAAGACGACCAGTGTTGTACCCCATTCATGAACGGTAGGAGGGGGGTGTGACCGGGGGTCGGTCACCGGTTTTGGCAAGTTGGCTGGGAAAGGTACTGGTGGGGGTGTGCCTGGGAAAGGTACTGGTGGGGGTGTGTTATGCTCGAGGGATGTCTGCCATCGCCTGGAATGCATTTTCAAACTGTTTTCGTGACTGCGCAAAGTCGCCTGCTGTTTTTTTCCCCGGGGGTTAATTGGCAGGAAGTCGGCCACCGGTCACAGAGCTCCCACCTTCTTCCCCCGAATACAACGTACGGTCATTATAGCTGTATCTAGACTGAAAGATACATCAAATACAGCTATAATGACCGTACGTTGTATTCGGGGGAAGAAGGTAGATCTTCACTCTTGCACCAGTACCGAAAGGAGACTTGGGTTGTCTCCCATCCTGTTTCATAAACTTAGCACGCCCTCCTGGTCCCCCTTGAGCTATTCACAGGGTATCTTTAAGGTAGCATTAGTCTTTTGCAGGGTCTTCTTTGGTAATCAAGGCCGGGATTCTTTCTTCTCCTTTTGAGAATTTATCACGGGGGTGTTGGGGTATACATCTCGTGACCAGGGTACCGGCGTGGCGGGTGGGCACTTGCTTGGCCAGGCCCAAAAAAAAGGCAGGCCTTTTTTTATATTCAATTCGGTAAAGAATCTGAAGATCAATAAAAGATGTGTATTTTTGTTTTCTCAAACTATGCTATATTCTTCTCTCATACCCTCTCAAATTCAAGTTTCATTATAATAACCTACCTACTCCTACTCCTACTCCTACTCCTAGGGCTATACAGGGGACCCCTGCAGCCCTGCTAGCATAGCTGCCTCATATTGAGGGGATAAATGTTC